ATTTAACATACAGATGCTCTGTAACACATCTATCATTAAATGAAGAAAATACCTGCCATCGCCTAATTGTTTTCTTAAGAAGTGAAGTCGACCCAACCTTGAGCTTCTTAACGATCAGATGTGTTCTGTCGAAATAACGAGTGGTGCGTGCTTTTATTATCAAATGATAGATTAGGTCGTCCTCACAGATATAAACTTTATTGATTTATCCATAAATAATGTTATTCCCAGGTCACATGCTGTTATCAAAGATATGCTTTATATATAATTAAGTCAATGTGATATTGTGGTTGTTGAGACGTACTAGTCGTATAACGTCAACACAATGTATGCATTTCACACCCGTGTATGGTGCGGCTTAATAGTAGTCCAGAGTGATACAATGTGTAAAGAATATATTAGACTCTTAGCGACCATCCCCACAGATATTTGGATGGATCTATCTCCCTGGGGAGGCTCACTAAATTGCTCTCAACCTAATCGGCTTAAATATCTGTCACGCCTAGTAAAGCTGTTAGGGGGTAATTATCTTTACCCTAGCTGATTTGGTAGGTGTGACAGACCTTTAAGCCATATAAGTTGATAGCAATTAAGTGAGACTCCCCAGGGAGCTAGGTCGATCAAGATGGATCGATCTAGGGATGGGAACCCAGTTAAGTATTACAGTATATTTCATTCTAGGTTTTCCATATTGTTCCCTTCGTGCCAGATTGATTAAAATGTCATTTAAGGAGTTGTTAGTTTGTAAAATGTATTTACTCGTCTATGATCAAAGAAGTTGTTATCTTAACTATATGTCAGGTAGCTTTACATCAGGTAGCTAGTTACTAATTTTGAAGTTCAAGAACTCATCTGTTTTGGAGATATTTCAGTGAAATAGGGAAATGTTGTTTTTAATGAATGGTGACACTTTCGTGACTCTATGCCTTTCTTGCATTTGACACACCCAATTAATTAAAATAAGATGTCAAGGCGTCAAAACTGCCAGACACTGGCACCGACAGTAGTCACATTAACCTTTTGATTGCTGCATATTAAAACAAAGTAGTTGTACTAGTACGATACTAATAGTAATATCGATATATATATCACTAAGTGAACTAGCTGTTATTTACAGGTATATTGGGTCGAAGCAGGCTAAAAGACATTAGGTCTTTAGTTTCTCATCGGCCCGTGCGTAGGTGCAGAGCCGATATTGAGTGAGGGAGCAGCAACTGGACTGCTACGTATCTGCTGGCTGATTGCAGTAGATGTGATCCACAGACACAATGTGGTAGGTATATATTTCTTGTAAAGTATTAATTGTACATTTCTGCTGACTGATTGCAGTAGATGTGATCCACGGAAACAATGTGGTAGGCGTATATAGCTTGTGGGGTATTAATTGTACATGTCTGCTGGCTGATTGCAGTAGATGTGATCCACGGACACAATGTGGTAGGCGTATATAGCTTGTGGAGTATTAATTGTACATGTCTGCTGACTGATTGCAGTAGATGTGATCCACAGACACAATGTGATAGGTGTATATAACTTGTGGAGTATTAATTGTACATGTCTGCTGACTGATTGCAGTAGATGTGATCCACAGACACAATGTGGTAGGTGTGCCAGCTTTTATTACAATGTAGTAGATGGTACTGTTTGTTCACATAGCACAATTAATCAGATAAGAAGGTTATTTTATTTTCACATATTGTCAAAATGGTTGTTTTTAAACTTTCGTTACTAAAATAGGCCAACACTCTCATTACTGAATACGAAAATTCCCATACAGTAAGGCAAATTTATCCATGTCGACAGTGATTTAGAACAAATGATTTCACTAATATATATTCAATTTTATTTTCATTTATTATTACTATTATTATTATTATTATTTTTTTTTTTGTTTCTTTCAAATGGACCTATATATTGAGGATGAGTGAATAGCACATTTAATGAGTTGCAAGCACTTGCAATATTCACTAAACTTCCCCTTTCTATAGGCACAGGTAATTTTACTGTTTATTATCCTCCATAATATCGAAGGTTGCAGGTGATTTTACCATTTATTTTCTCCCCATTTAATAGGTGGCAGTGAAGTTAGCTACTTATTATCCTCCAACTTAAAAAGAGGTTGTAGATGTTTGTACTGTTTATTTACTCTCCTATTTCATGGTGTGCAGAAAAATTTCCTCCAGCTTATTTTTTTCAATATTTTCATGGGTTGCAGAAATTTTACTTTTATTTTTTCCCTTACTATGATGTGCAGAAGAATTGTGGGATTGGACCTTCCTGTTTAAAAAACATTTATATGGAAAGGGTGGCTTCCAAAACTGAAAAAGATTATAAGCGATACTAGTCTTGTAGATAGTGAACTTTTTAAAAAGCTTTTGTCCAATCACCACATCTCTTTATTATAGTTAAATATAATACCCGAAAATTTAGCCAATTACTTTTAACACAACTTTTATTTTTGCCAGTATTATTTTATTTATTTGGTATTTCTTAAACCCAAGATGGTACACGTAATACAAATTCCATTTTATGTGTATTTTATAATAGAATGGTTGAATTAACTTTACCATGGCAACATGCATTCATTTCGAGCCCTGAAAAAACAATATGAAAAGGGACTTTACTTTCATTTTTATGGGTTGCAGATAATTTTACTGTTTATGATTTTCTTCCAATTGCAAAGGTTACATGTGATTATACTCTTTATCCCCCCAACCCTACCATGACTGGCTGCTTATTTTTTTCTCAATTTCCATTGGTTCCACTTGCCCATTCTCTTTGGGTTGCAGGCAATTGTACTGTTTATTTTCCTCCCCCATTTCATGGATTGCAGATAATTGTCCTGTTTATTTGTTAATTGTTTATTACCCTACCCACTTCCATAGGTTTCAGGTGGTTTTATTGTTTATTTTCCCCATTCTCAGGGATTGCAGGAAGATTAACTGTTTATTATTCTGCTCAGCATCATGACTTGCAGATAATGTTATTGTCTGTTTCCCATTCATCCTGACTTTCAGGGCTTTCCCTTGTAGGGTCTTCCTCTTCCTGTACACTAGGCCTGTTGGTCAAGGTCAGGACCTCCTTGCAACTCACCAATTGTAATAGGTGCAGAATTGTCTGTTAATGATAACAGCCTATCCTGACTTATTGCAGTATCACAGTTCATGTACTGTATGAAGCATACAACATAATTTGAATTGTGAAATTTTATTCCTTAGAAAGTACTAGTACTAAGCACCTGGTATTTTGTATTAAAATTTATTCATAAATTTCAAGCATGAACAATTTGAAATAAAGCTTATCATTGATAAAAAATGAATCAATATCAGCTTTATCTTCTCTACAGTTATACAGAAACATTATATACCTAAGAATCATTATCTTTTATTACTAATCTGTTGTTGAGTATATGTTTCCAATTTTTCCATCTTGACTAACTATGTCACAATTTATTAATTTCCACATTTTTAAAAATGTTCTACATAGAAATGGAATATATCACAAAAGAACAATAATTACGAAAACTATGTGAAATCTTACATTCCTTTTAATATTTTCTTGTGTGATAAATTCCATGCAGAATTTTCCATTGGAATGCTTTAATTACAGATTGATTACATGGCAAAAATATTCCATTCCATATTACATTGCATGGAACATTTTCATTACCTCCGCCAAGGAGGTTATGTTTTCACCCCTGTTTGTCTGTCTGTCACCAACATAACTCAAAAAGTTATGGACCGATTTTGATGAAATTCTCAGGAACTGTCAGAAGTGGGCCAAGGAAGACATTATTAGCTTTTGCTGGTGATCCGGATCAACAGTCAATCAATAATCAGTGATAATCAAAAATCGCTGCCTTGGCGGATGTCTGCGGTCTCGGAGTGCTTTTCTAGTTGAGAAATATAATATCTTGTTCTAAACCAGTTCTCATCTTACTGATACCTCTCTAGAAGTGATTTTTTTTAAATTGCATCCCTTGTAAAATGTTTTTCATACTGTACTGATTTGCCATTATCCTTAATTAACCGATTTGTGATCAAATTCTTTAACACTTCATATTCCATAAATGTAAGTCCATTACGTCCCATCACTTATTTACTTGATCCGTAAGGTGAGTTTTAATAATAATAATATATTTATTTTAAGTCTAAACTCCATATGAATATGTTCGTTAGACTTTACAAATATGTACATACATATAACAAGTATACAACTGGTCAAAACACGCTGTGTACAATCTCGCCTCCCTGGGGAGGATACAGCCCCGCTGCCGTATGAGGCGCTGAGTGCTATCAATCTTACAATATCGTTCTCTGCCTGACCAGGACCCTGCTTCAACCCCAAAGTGCTGAGTGCCAAGCGGGGAGACAGCAGGTACCGTTTATAAAGGACTGGTATGTCCCCGGACGGGTTTTGAACCCACGTCCTCCCGCTCCGGAGGCGGACACTCTCACCACAAGGCCGTCCGGTCGCAGTGAAGGCGACGTGTAAGCCTTGATATGTCGTATTTTAAACTGCATACGTATTTCGACGTACAGGTATACTGTATAAACAGTCTTTAGCCTCTAAACGCATTTCTAAGCGCCTGTTATATCTCATTTTGTTGACGTGCTTAGCTCTTAAGTACGGTAAGGTATTGACGTCTATTTAATCTTTTCCAGACGTGAGGAATGGAACATCCGAGTTGGGGTATTCAGTATAATAGTATATTTAAGCTTCCGTCACATGCTGGTTATTTCTGTAACAATAGTCCGAAGATTCTACAATTCGCACCGTTCTAGTCGCCGACTAACTCATAGCCCAATTTATAATTAACCGTTGAATGTAGTTCAAACAGCGTAAGAGTTGTTTTGGATATTCATTTAAAAAAAAGGTTTTCAAAACATTAGTTAATGTTTTCCCGCTAATTAATGATTACGTTATCATACATGTAGTCTTGTAGAAACGGTCTTTGAATATTTCTATAATGATTATATTATAACGACGACGAAGTTCTGGAGTCTTCAATCATTTATTCACCACTTAATTTTCATACAAATTTACCCATATTTATACTCTAATTCTCTGTACTGATCACGCGTGTAATTATGTTCTTTTTATTGTTTATGGCGTGATTTCCAGAAACTTTCCATTGTCATGTTTACTTTACCATAGAACATTCCCTTATTAGGTAATGTCTAAGAGTCTTGTTTTCAACTAAACTCATCCAAAATACTATTGGCATTACAGTGAATCAAAATCGAAATCTGTTATGAAATTAACCGATCACATTAAATGTTATTGGCTTTGACCTTTTCCATCTTTTTCTGACATTAAAAACATGTTCTACACTTGTTGACACTCGATGAAACTTAATTTGCACTCAATATCACTCTAACTTTTCATCTATTTGATTTCCCTTTCATTACTAATTGTAATTAGTGTAAACGTAATTAATTAACTTTACAACAATTATATCGTTAACTTACTGTTTTTATTTATTTATTTATTTATTTTTTGTCAGCTGGGACAATATTTTGCATGGAGTTTAACGCATAACGCATAACATTACCATAGCGTTATGATAATGTTATTCTGTACCATAGCCAGTATGTAACCATCCGATAACGTCATGAAAACGTTATTTGTTATCTGATTACATAATAGGCCTATTTTAAAATAATCACAAGTTACTGCAAGGTAGGACACAAAGTGTTCGAGCAGGATCATATACCGGTGAAGCTAATCACATAGCTAAAAGTGAATTACCGCTAAATATGTTAAGCATTTTCTTCTGTGAGAAGCTTGAAAAGCCAAACTTGTTGTTCAGCAGCGTTTAGCAGCTCCATATGTTTAGCAGCTCCACGCGCTTAGCAGGGAAAGTGCTTAGCCAATGTGCTTAGCCTTGTGATAAACTTATTATAGAATCATATACCCTTGAAACTAAACACATAAGTAAACGTTTAACACTGCTAAACATGTCTAGCATTTTCTTTTGTGGGAAGCTTCAAAAGCTATGTGTTCAGCTTTTACACATATTTCTAAATGCGTTTAGGTGCCTAACGTGTGTTGTGTGTGTCTTAATGCCAAACACTTATTACAGTGTAAAAGTACAGGTATAAAAAGAAAATTGATATGATCTGTAGATAAAATAAAATACAATAAAATAATTAAAATTCACTTTTCTCATTAAAAATACGTACAGCTGATGGGTAAAAGCTATTTTTAGTGCCTGTGGCAGTAGTCTTTAATGACTGTAGTCGATTTGATAACATAGGCATAAGTAAACTATTCGCTGGGTGACCAGGGTCACCCGTTATTGACTTCTTTTTCTTGAGTACTCGTCTCATATACAATTTGAGGCAATATTAATACATGTACATGTACCATACTTCTATACCATGCGTGGTATACAGATAATGTGGTTATAGTAGGTTCTCGTATAAAGGTTCCACACTTGAAAAATATAATATGTATGGGCACCTAAGACTACATTCCCGTAGATTTAGATCGATCCATCTAGATCGACCTAACTCCCTGGGGGTTTACGCTAAATTGCATTGGAAAATTGAAATAAAAGCATACTTGATAAGCATATACATAAACATCATTGTTATGGTTGATGTCTCTTAAAATCATGTTTTTATGGATCCATATTAAAAAATCTTTTAAAAATATTACGATTTTTAAGGTCTCTTGAATAGTCCTCCACTTTTCGAAGTTCACGTTCTGCTTGGAATTGATTCTCCCTCAATTGACGTTCATGTCCCACTTTCACATCCGTTAATTGCTGTTGCAGTTCTAGTGCTTTATTCATTGCCTGTTCTTCAGCCTTTTTTTGGGCAGCCTGTATTAAAAATACGTTAAAAACCTTCCGCACTGTCGTCGTTAAGATTATAGAAATATTGATGAAAGGAAAATTAACTCATTCAAAAAATACTGCTTATGAAGCATTCATTCACATTTTTCATCAATACAGCTCGATCTGAGGTTTTCATACTTTTATTTATCCAAGATAAATATTTAAGACAAGTAATAAGCATTATACCTTTGTGCACCAATATTCCAATTTCTCTGATCAGGAAGAAATTTCAACATGTCCATGTTTAATGTTTCTAGACTAATAGATTTTAATAAAAAGGACGAGGATTGGTGAATTTTTCACGCGTTGGTCAAAGTAGAATATTCTGACTTAAAAAACAAGTTGACCGATTCTAATTCCTAAATTTTGTATGGCAATTAAGTGCTAAATTTTCCAGAAACATTTCGATTTTTGCTACATAAAGGTTCAATGAGCACATTTCTTTGCTTTTGTAACAAACCTGCATCATCTCCATTTTGTCCTGTTGATTAGCTTTCTTTAGGTCTTTCATTTTCTTCTCGAATTTAATCCTCTCCTTGTCCTGGCTTTTTTGCAGCTAAAATTGTCATATTTGAGACGTTTAATACACTTTCTATTAGTGATATTCTAAATAAGAATTTGGTACATTCCACCTGAGCCTAAAGCAAGTATTACAGAGATCAAATCATAATATACAAAGTGTCGTTATATTATTATAATAAAATACAAAATTATTAAAAAAAGTATTGTTATTTTGCTGCCTTCATCATTTAATCACTTTTGTTGTTATTATTGTTTTTGGAGGGAATGTTATTTTCGTTATTTTGTTGTTCTCTATTACCTGGACTAATATAAAAAAAAATCCAATGGCTAACAGGGCTTACAATCACTTGCAGTCGTTTAGATTTTATCACGCATAATGATAGATTCCACCAATTTTCAGGGGACCTTTCCAAACAAGACTTGCTAACAGCGGTTTAAAAAATCAACAATCTGTCGCCTTCCTTGTTCTCTATTTTAGTACTTTTGTCAATAACTACAACATATTCTTTGTATTCACCTGCAGAAGTTGTGTAGTAAATAATGTGTTGGAGATCGCTGCAAAGTCGCCCAAAGGAGGTAGCTGAGGCTACAGATAGGAGGCAGAGAGGAAGCACAGCCATAGCTGTGACTGCAAAATGGGGGCACAAGCATCGCTTTGGTTGTAGAATGGATGTGGCAGGTAATAGATACTATTTCTTACTGTCAAACTGGGCCGTGTTAAGGTATTTTTCAACAGAGGCACGGAATACGAGACTAACACCTACTGCTACTATAGTGGTCTCACACCAGTCTTGAATTTGTATTTTTCCAAGTTCTTAAACTGATCAAAATTTCCAGAAAGAAGCACAGGGTTTCTGAGGGACCGAGATCCCATGTCAAAGTTTCTGTTTCATCATTTTTGACAGAGGTAACAGATTATTCAATCTTGTACAAACTTCCATGCAGTGTCAGAAAATTATTATGACTAGACACCAAAACTTGCTGTCAAATTAAGTTGCATGTAAAACATTGTGAAAATGATGGTTTATTTCATACACAAAGGAAATCGGAACGAAGTTGTTTGGTCGTAAAGACTTAACACCCACCAGCCATTATTTTATTGGTTATTTTCTATTTCACTTTATATCTTACGTAAGAGGATCGTACTGAAGGAGATTTCTCAAGGCACATACTTTTTCGAGAGAGTCTTTGTGATTCTTTTCTATGTCCTTTATTGCTTTTTCATGCTCAGTCTTCTGCCTCTCAGATTCCTCGCGAAGGTTTTGCAGATCGCGCTGCTGTTTTTCAGACTCCATTTCTAAGGCTTCTTGTTTCCTCGTAGCTTCAGCCACTTTTAATTGAAATCCTTTGATTGCCTACAAGATAAAGGAACTGGTGAAAGTTACTGACAACAAATCAACAAAATAAAATGTACAATCAAAAAACAAGAAATTGTAATGTATCAAATAGTCTTTGTCAGTTTGATGCAATTTTACACAATATTACAGCAAAATAAACAACAGGTAACATGAATTAAATAATAATAATAATAATTATAATAATAATAATGAGAACAACAACAATTAAAATAATAATTTGATGCCATATCCACTTTTTCATCTTGCACCAATATTCCTATTCTTTCTTTCTTTCCCTCTTTTTTTTTTCATGTGATTTATCTTTGACGAGCATGCATTTACTTCAATTGCATGGATACTTCTTTCACGTAATAAGAGCGGTTTTCATTCACGTGATTATAGAGCCGTTTGCGGCGCTCTTTACTCATTCTTTACTTGGTGACTGACCAAAAAGGTCGTATAAATATCTTCATCTCTATTTTCTTTCTACAGGTGAGCTAACTATTTATTCAAGTACAATTGCCATGATGCATTGTTATTTATATAGCTATTTTATTAAACGAGTGTATTTATTTTATTAGTTATAGTTATATAATTAAGTGTTTTATTTGCTGTAACATATACTAATTTTCTACTTTGTGACTGACCAAAACAGTCGCACAGATATCTTCATCTTTATTTCCTTTCTATAGGTAAAATAAAACACTTCTATTACACACGCGAGTGTTTTAATCAATAGACGCGATATGTGACGACGACAACAACAACAACAACAACAACAACAATAATAATAATAATAATAATAATAATAATAATAATAGCGCTTGTACAGACAAAAATGGTCAAACTGACCAAGATGAGAAAAAGATTGGCAGTGTTAAAGTGTTAAAAGATGAAATCACACATTAGGCACTCTGAGGATATTTTGTATTGATGTTTATATTCATTTAAAAGACACTAGCTGTCTCTATATGTCAAGTGCGGCCTTGTGTTTAGCTTTGGATCTCTTCTAGTAACATTGCGCGATCTGCTTTTATTGGCGAACATTTACCGGCTGAACTTGTATATACGAGGTTACTCGAAATGAATTGTTTTCTTTTGCTCTTCTTTAGCTTTTGGAAAGCTAACAAACGAGTGGGTGTTTATGTTGTCCTTATTACTTTAATTTTATAAGACATTTGGCCACATCGTTTTATCTTTGACGGTACACAACAGCGACGGCGATGTGTCTGTACATAAAGACATAGTTCTCAAAATGGTTAACCTCAATTATAAACATCAAAATCTGTATTGTACACCCGGACGTAGAATTTTCATAAAAATTCCGTATGACCATTAAGTCTTGTCTCATCAATATTACACAAATTAAAAAAGCAAATCGCTCTTAATGTAAAACGCTTCAACGTACACTGTCCAATGTACGTAACGTTTCATATTTTACATGTAAATACCTTGCACATTTGAAAGAATCCAGTCATATCGGATGATTCCCACCTCTCTTGCAGCACGTCCAACTTCATGGGCCCTATAGCCTGCTGCAGGTAAGACTTCTTAAGCTGGTCTAAGTCTGCTTCTAAGGTTTTCTCTGTGTAGTCATCTGGTATTGGGCTAAGGCGGTTTTTCAATTCATCTAGGAGTTTCTTGAATACCTTCTCACAGAAACAACGAGACCTGTCACGGTTCTCCTGGAGGTATCGTAGCAGTTCCCCACCGACGACGATGCTATTCTCTTGACCTTGATTATCCCTCTTAACTGTGGGAGAAATAAGGTCATTAGCATAAACGGGACATTTTGAAAGCCGATCGACAAACGGATAGCTTGATTTGAAGTGTGCTTCCATGCCATACCTGCACTTTACTCTTTCACAAATATCAATTATCAAATTATTCAGCTCATATAGGAACGTTATATACAGACATATCAAAAGTCAATATTGAGCATTAACATTCGCCATTCGCCATAGGAAAATAACAATGTTTGAGGTGATCTCTCGAGTTCTACGCTAACTATGTAACAGTGAAAATCAGTTTTGAATAAATATTGTAATTTGCCCACCAGTACGACCAAGATTAATTAGATAATGAATTAATTAATTTCAAAGAAACATCATTTTGGTCGAACTGATTAAAATTCCCCTATCAAAGAGTGCCAACTGGTTCTCCAACTGAATTCACCTTAAATTACTAAAACCATGTCATATTTAACATATTGATAACAGGCAATCTACGGAGTCTACCTGTGCCTTTTTGTGACTATTCCAATTTTCTTATTTATATACACTAGCTCTGCCCAAGTCCCGGTGCATATTAAGAGTCCCACTGATACAACCCGAACGTAAAATTGTTATTTTTGCCATACTATTCACAAAACAGATGCATTTATAATTTGGCGTTAAAATCAAGCAAACACAAAAACGATTCACTGGTCTGATCTGGTCTGCCCCAGCATTCCTAATTTAAACCACGTTTCAAAAAACTTTTTTTAGGAAATTGACTATTAATTACCTTTCCTGCTATTGGTTTTACGTGAGAATTAGTTTGTTGTAATCTAGCATCTTCACAATGTTTAAGTTTTGTTCATATATCTGGGTAGTGTTCTTAAATACTTTCAGTACTTGTTTTATTAACATTTTAAATTGATTTTATACTTAAAATAAATATATTAATTATATTCTCGTTATAGTTTCATCCAATGTGTATGGCCATATTTTTACCCTTAACATTATATCCTTAAGCTATGTTTTGGTTTTTATCCTTTGAATTGACCGTATACTAAAACATTATGGCCACATGCTAAGCTCAAAATATTCCATGCTCAAATTAATTCTTTTCTTGCTTACCTATTCTTTCATTAAAATCCAAGATAAGAGTTGGATTATCTTTATTGTCTCCATCCCATCCTAAGAACCCGATCTGCTTGTTCAATTCGTTGTGAACATTTTCCATTACTGCATCGTGGATGCTCATTAAGCTTGTTCCTGTAGTTCTGAAAACAAGGGAATGTTTACATTTACTGTGTTATTTCAATCGTATTGCTTCTTACTATGCCATTAGTGAACCATACATTTTTGATACTAACTGAGATTATGCTCAAATACATTTTATATCCTTCAAGGCTGTATATTTCTGTCAATGTTTTGAATGTACATAATAAATTTTAATGTACAGCCACTGATGCGTGTCTGTACATATAGCCGTCATCTACGCCTGTCATTGCAGTCTTTGTCGCCGTGTATTTTCAAAGACAACAAGGGGAGTGGAAAACCATTTTACCTTTTATCTTCATCTTACATAAATGATAAGGGCTGAGTTCGAAAATCTGCTTGATTGAACAATTTTCCAAACCTTATGTTTTTTTTTTTTTTTTTTGCTTTTCTCAGTCAATATGTTGTACAAATAAGAGGGGCAAAGGGGAAGATAAATTTTAAATTAACATATGTGTTCCCCCTGTAAATGAATTAGTAAGTAATTAAACATATTAACCGGTTGACCTTTTGTCTTCAAACTTACAGGATTGATCAATATTTTTTAGAACTAGAAAACCAGTTCAAATTACTGCCATGCATTTTTGTGAAATGGTCATCTTTTTAACCTCGGTCACAACCGGCCGTACGGGCTCTTACAGGCTGTTTGCGTCCAAATTTTGCACAGAATCTCACTTCCCACGCAAGTCCTACTTACGAAATTTCGAGTTCGCAGATAGCCAATAAACACGTACGGAGGATGTTGGACATGTCCAAAAGATTCTACGAATAGCCTGCGAACAGCGAGGCCGAAAGCGTAACTTGCTCCCCTCGCACGGAGTTAGCAAGAGAGACGCGCGTTGTGTAAGACGCACGTCGGAAGCTATGAAGGAGCAAGTGCCCTTTGCGTGTTGAGTAAGGGGCACGTCCTCACAACTAACGAACAAAGTCGAGGACTCACCGGGAATGCGTCGCACGTGTGTCACCCCCTAGCCTGGCGTATAAAAGGCTTGCTCAAGACGCACGCTCGTGTCTTTACACTGAACGTCGACTGTGTAACGTGTACAACTATTTTCTAAATTTTCAGATTTTTGTTCAATTTCTTTTTCCAATATGCCTCTAAAGGCAAGAGAAAGAAGCTTACATAGTAGAAAAAATGGAGGAGGAAGAAGAAAGAAGGAGAGAACAGGAAGCAAAATTGACATACGTCGTCAGTACGTCACCACAAACGTGTGAGGCAAGTGTGAAGCAAAACTGACGCAAAAGGACACTATTTTTTGCCGTGCGTTGCATTCCCTTCGTAAGTGGTGAGTGTGTGCCACGTACACAGGAAGCAGGACAAACCCAAGAAATGAGTACAATTTCCACGGCCATGCTTGAAAGGACATCTCGTGTGGGCCTTGCGACTCGCAAGTCAAACTTTCCTCTACCTAGACGACCTCCACGGCCTCGCAACACCCAAAAATCGCACGGGACGTACGATCCTGAAATTCGTGCGTCCGGTTGTGACCAAGGCTTTACATATTGATATTTTCAAGGTGTGACTTCGAACTGCCAAGAGCGTGAAGACCTCTGCTATTCACATTTCTAAATGCCTATGTCACCTGCAGTGCATAATAAAACATTGGTGGTGATTATGCACTGCATTAAGACAAGAAAAATAGGACTGTATAAATACAGTTTGAATTGGAAAAACGGCCTTTTTTTGGGAAGTTATTGATTCTTTTTAAAATTTTGTGTGAAGTGCAAATTGTCTCACGTTGGCATTTGCAAGGTTAAGATGTTACATTTAACTTCCATGAACTTTAATGCCTTTGCTAGTCACATTTTTTAAATATCCATGAGATTTTTACCATGTTATGAAAATTTGTGGTGATTATGGTGTTATGCATAACGTATTATTACTTCAAAATTGCAAAAATAATATATTTTGCGCATTATATTCTGCTTTTTGTCTCTACATTTGGCACCTTTGCTGCCTTGTTAATAACATTTTAATCACTTCATAAAAATAATTAACTATGAAGAACATGTTATACTGCATTCACTAACGTATATATATATATATATATATATATATATATATATATATATATATATATATATATATATATATATATATATTTTTTTTTTTTTTTTTTTTTCAGAAAATTATATCTTACTTTTCATTTCTTTCTTCCATGGGATCCATCTCGGACCCTCTGAGGCAGACTTTCTCGATTGCTTTCTAAAACAATAATATGATTATGGTTAATAAAATTCTTATAGACTTACATCAAAGCTTACATCAAAGTTTAGAATAATGTATCTTCCCTTCAGAGTACTGTATTAACTTTCTACATACATGTACATTTGCGTTCCTCCATTATTGCTAACAGTAAATAAATAAGTCTGAATAATTTTAGAAAATGAAAACATTCACATTTGTTTCTAAATTCAATACCACATTCCTGGTCACAACCACTCTGTACCAAGGCGAGTCATTGAATTTTTACCACATAAGTTGTATATTACGACTCTTAATCTACTGGATGACAAAAAGACTCTTTCATTATGACACTATAGTCCCATGGATTGAAACTGTTATTAGAATAGGAATAGGTTTGTGCTAAGAGTGAAAACAATTTAATTTGCTAAAATAACTGAAATAATAATAATAATAATAATAATAATAATAATAATAATAATAATAATAATAATAAACATTTTCAAGAGGAAGATTATGGCATTTAATTGTTATTTTTTAATGTAATTTCTTATTTTAAAATCTATTCTATAATATCTTGATTATTAGATTTATCTCAAACTTTGGATCAAAAAGGCACCAAACAAACCAAATATTTTTAGTGCAAGGGAAGGGACACTCGGCTGTTTCACAATCAGGGGTACAAAATAGGGGTCACATTGAGAGAAAAATGAACTCTGATGCATTTGTTTAGTTTTGTAACAGATAATAAGAATAATATCTTAACTATGACATCCAACATTTTTAGAACACAATATTAATCATTTTTTTATTCCTATTCTAATAACTCAAATTATTTTTGCTGACACTAAAAATTTCAGGTTTCCCCTTTTCTTTTCCTATTTGGCTTTTGTTCATTGTCATCCATGTTTGATACTTCATCCACTGAGAGTATTATGAATATACCTCTGTTAATTATGCATGTATTGTAGTGTCCGTACCCCCTCAAAATATATGATATACATTAATTCATAAAATATTAATCCATGTACAATTTATTATTTTACAATTAGCTATATTTGGCAATATATTGAAAGCAATATTGTTCATTTTGAATGCAAAGAGTAGCATCTTTATTGATATTATTTATTTATTTATTTATTTATTTTATTTTTTTTTTTGCAAAATGTCTTGCCTGACTCTTATTAATTACTATCACTTTATCGAATATACATTTATATACAATGTTTTTTTTTTCTAAACATAAGACATGAATCCATTTTATATTATCTAGAACAATATATTTGTACCATAATTTGAAGTTTTATCATCATTGATAAGTAGCCAGTTATCCAATGGTTAATGGATAACTTTTGGGTACGGACACTACAGTAGGGGTACAGACACTACATTTGCTCCAAATTTTTGCATATCTTTTCATAATAAGGGGTAATGTGCTATTTTCTTCCTGAAAATAAATGTTAGTGTGGACATACATATAATAATAATAATATAATCAGACAGAATATACTGTGATTCCTAAATAAAACAGATAGCGGGGGTACGGACACTACAAAAATTAGGAGACACCAAGGGGCTCATGATTATAAATACCATAGCATTATTAATAATGGTTACATATGCACAACTCCTTTAATATGTTTAAGTCATAACATGGTTATTTCATCTTATTATCACGTAGGTGATTTCAAATTAATATTTGGCCTTATCAAATATGTTTTTCATTGCATTAACAAAAATAAGTAAAATGTGTAAAAAAAGCCTGTTTCAGCAAAATGGTTAGAATAATTTTTTTCTCAGAACATTTCTTTGGAAGAACCTGCTAAAAAAGAAGATATATGTTGTGGGAATTATATACCAATATCACAATATTCACCATAAATCATTGACATAAAGAGCTAGTGCATCATCTTTATGACCTTAATTACAAATGACCCATCGTAACAGCTAAAAATAGGTACTTTTTTAACACATAATTGGCTATATTTTTGTAAATTGTAGTCCGATTAATATAATTTTTTTTTCTCCTATGAACAGAGTGTGTGTATTTGATATCAGTCTATCAGCAATCTCTAATCATAAATTGCTAATTTATCAGACACTTTTAACATTAACCACAATTAATTGTCCACCCTGATTGTGAAACAACCGACTACATGTGCATGTACCAGTTTGGTACCTGTTTATTTTTGTGTATTCTAGCATATGCAGTGGCGGATTTAGGGGGTGACAGAGGTGACCTGACCCCTCCTTCGGTTTCTGGAAAAAATCACGCCAATATTCCCCTCCTGCTATTAGAATTTTGTAGAGCTGAATAATAGTTCTAAACTGCACCAAATGACACCGTTTGCCCTCCAAAACCCCGAATCCCACACCAAGGGGACAAGGGTCGGCTTCGTATCTGAGGCCTGTCATTCTCAAAACACGCTGGACCCCCCCCCCCAAAAAAAAAAAAATAAAAATAAAATAAAAATAAAAAATAAAAATAAAATAAAATAATAATCCTAGATCTGCCCCTGAACATAGACGTCAGTGTTGCGTAGGCAAAACATTTGAATAAAATTTAAACACTAATATTTAAAAAACAATTCTTCATTTTTTGCAATTAAATAATGTTTACTTTCATCTTGTATTTTATTTAATCATTATTAAAGCAAACTGTTATCAAATATAGGTTGTCTACGATATTTCCTGCATTTCAAGTATCTGTTTACAGAATGATGGCTTGATGGATAAGAGAAAAATCCAATATGGCCACCACCCCCATTATCATAATAAGTCCAAGCCACAGTGGGTATCCTATTGTAAAGTTCAAATATCTGCTTGAATGATATATATTTTATTTTTTAATATACATGGGTAAAGTATAACTGTTTAACTAAAAAAAGAAAGGAGGGTATTTTAATCCAAGATGGCTACTTTTTCAAGATGGCGGCCAAATCCTTAGCATTTTTGCAGTTACGTTATCTTTTCTTTAATCTGAAAATCTCTTGTAATCATGATAAAAGCAAAACTTTATGAAATCTATATTCTGTACATTATAACTACTATCTATTTACAATTTGAAGTGAAAATCATTCAGAACAGGAGTTATATTTGAAAAAAAAACTATTGTATTTATTTACATATGCTTTAATGTACATAGAGCTCTTTAAACATTGGAGATCAAAAAGATCTTTGCTCAACAGATGCAATATAGCAATCTCTCCTGGAATTGAAGTCTGGAAACTTTTTTTTTTTACTTGACCACCATTTTTAAAAACATGCTGAAAACTGTAGTTTTATTTTTTGGGTAAGTTACTATTTCACGAGGATATGTATATATAAATAAGATTTTTCAAGAGTTAAGCACTGCAACCTGTCTAATATAATCCTAAAATTAGAGCTTTTATATAAAAGTGACTGTGCATTTTTGTATTTAGTCTCAAAACCATACATATCTATCTTACACCAAGGTATATTTTGTTTAGATGAGGCCATCTGAAGATGGAGCCTGCATGCAGTATAGAGTATTGCAATCTGTGCTGGAATTGAAGTCTAGACGCATTTTTTTTTTGTGCGACTACCATTTTTAAATATGCTATAACAATAGTTTAATTAACTGGGTAAGTTGCATGTCAATGTGTTATCATGAGGATATGTAAACATTAATAAAAAAATTCAACACTGCAACATGTCTCATTTAATCCCAAAAGAACAGCTTTTATTCTAAAGTGACTGTGAATGTGTATTCTTGAAAGCAAACAGACCAACCTTACATCAAGGTATATTTTGTTTAGATGAAGCCATCTGAAGATGGAGCCTGCCTTCACTATAGAAAAGAAAAGTCATTCTGAAACAAACTTTTCCAAGTGTATCATTTGCCAATCCAGAAAAACAGATACTCTTAGTAGTGTAACAGAAAAAGGTTTTCTGACATTGAAAGAAGCAACCCACATTCACCAAGACGAAGTTTACTGTACATTGTAGACTTTGGCCCCTTATGGAAGATAAGAGTAACTTTCTGTCTAAAAGCCCTCTATGTCACATATCATGCAGAGTCAGTTATACTCATAAGAAAAGTTTACAACCACAGAGTGCAAAACGAATTAAACTAGAAAACCTTGAAAATAACAGCGCCGCTTCAACCATCAGAAGAAATGACCAACCAAACAACTTTAAACAGGTGTGTTTTTTTGTGTGAAAAAGAACGAGACCCAAAAGGGAAACATGGCATGACCCTCGTAGCTACAACCCAGAGACAGTCTACCATACACATGAAGGCAAAGGAGATAAATGATGTAGAAGTTCTACACAAAATTGAAGGGTTTGGGGAGAGTCATATTGACATGGTGGCAAGAGATTTTCGATTCCACACCCTTTGTATGAGTAAATTCATGAACAGAAGAGCAAAAGTAGACCACAACAGTGTTCTTGAAGATGCATTTTCACAGCTTATTTCTGAAATATCTGAAAAGATTCTAAGCCAGGGGTCCGTGTTTTATCTACGGCAGTTGCAGAACAGATATGAGGAAATTCTAAGTGGGGGAAGAGCACATACGCGAGAATCATTCAACTGTCATGGACATTACTTACGGCATAAACTAAAAAAGCATTTTGGTGAAAATATCCAAATATTACCTCAGAAGGGTACATCAAGCATCATTTGTGCTTCACACATATCAGTAAACCAGCTGTGCACAATGAAAAAGAATCTTCAAAAGGATCTCAGCAGCAATGAGTTAGGATCAGAATCAGATACAAGTACAGATGAAGAGGGAGATGAAGCCCCAGCGGCCGAGAGGGACATTTATGCATCTGCCAAATGTGTTAGGTCTGCCATTAAGTCAATGGGAAAAGAGAAAAGAAGTAACCCAGTACCATGTGCACTCACTACATATGATGAAGCATCCTCAAGGGTTCCAAATTCATTGTACAACCAGCTTGCATGGATAGTCTTCGATACCGAGGAACCACCAAGTTGCAATGGTCGTGTTCCACTGACAGATGAGCGCCATAAGAAGATATTGAATTTGGCTCAA